CCTTTTTCTTAGTTTATCTGCCTCATTTGTAGTCAATTGTTTCTTAATGTTTTTTTTTTCTAGATTCCTTCATGTATGCTTTGTTCTTGATCCTTTTCCTTAGTTTATCTGTTTCATTTGTAGTCAATTTTTTTTTATTATGCTGCCACCTGCACTCATTTTCATTAGTTCTCTAAAAAACACGTTAGGCACTTGAGATTGAGTTCCACCCTGCATGGTTTCATAGCATTTGTCTTTTGGAAATGCTTCAGTTGGGCTATTTGGCTGTAAATCAGTTTCAATTGTGGATGAAGACTTTTCAAACACAGCAAAAATCGGGCGAAACTTCTTTTTTTCCTTTTTGATCTTGGTTTGCCTGGCTGCTTTTAGCCCTTAATTTCCTTCCTGCTAGTAAGCAGGCTGAAAATGTGGAGCAATGTTCGCATCATCATCACATCTGAATCTGCATACTTTTATTTGAAATTTGTTTTAGAGAGGTGGCATCTAAAAGCTGAGTTGGACCTAATCATCAGTACTTCTACCTATACTTCATTGACTGATAAGGGGGTCACATCAGCTTGGATAAAAGAAAAAAATATATATTTAATGAATAATACAATCCATCAGTAAAAATTAATAAAAGCTATGTAAATCAAATGAACAATTTAAATAGCATGAACAGTAAAATAAACTAAAACCGCTCTCCTATTTCACTAAGGTGTTTATGTAGTAGGGTCTTAAATTTATAATTATTCTCTCTGTCAATGTTACTACTTACTTCACTTGGTGCAGCAGCTGCTCTTATTAAAATGGTGCCTGACACACTTTAGTGTCAGGGACTTACATCTTATTCAATGAATACATACATATTCATGGTTGAGAAGAGGAGACCAATTTATTTAACAGGCCAAAGATATGTGCTCCAGAATTGGCAAGAATGTCACCAAACTTGTCCAAGGTGCAATGTGGGAGAAATATTGGCCTGCATTGTTTGTCCTTCATTGTAACAGCAACTGCAGCTTTGTTCATGATTTTACTGAGACCCTGGCAAAAAGTACGTTTACATCAACCTAAAAATGGAATTAAAACAGATTTATTGAAATATCTGTAATGGCCCTGACTTCTGTCCTAATATTTTGCACTTCATTTTATACTGTGTAGTCTGGAACAAGTGTAAGGGTTGAGCTCAGTTTAAACATATTCTTATGCTGGAAGCTTTATTTCTATTGCATGGTCTACCTGAACTCTTTGATTTACCCTTGGCTGCCTGAAGTGTTAATATAAAGTGAATGTTTTATTAAGACAAGCAAGCAAGCAAGCAGGCAATCCTTAACACCTTTTGTATGATATACATATACCATGCTCACTTGAACATGAGCAAAACTATTTGGTGTGTATTTTATTGAATTTTGTTGGTTTTTTGGAGTTTTTTAACACCTTCATATCAAATTCATGTTCAAGAAGTGGCATACAACCTTTAGAGTCCAGAGGCTTTTTGGTGATGCATTATAAATCTAAATATAAGTGAAAGTGTGACAGTATATCTCCTAGAGCAACTGGTTTTCCTAGAAAGGGCTGGTATCTGCTGCAGAATAAGGCAAGACTTGTGAAACACAAATAAATGCTGGATAACAACAGATTTGTAGAGGTGATGTTCTTTTGAGCAACTGATATCTTAAATAGAGTATCTTGAGATGAATTTATCAGAATTACTGAAATAAAACTAAAACGTTAGTTATGAATGGGATACCAATTTAACTTCTAAAAAATTGTTGCTGATAATGATAACAATGGCAATGTTAATGGTAGTAATATTATTTGAAATGATTTTTATGATAATGAGAGTATTAAATATACATTTCACAAATTATAGATATGTTCAAATGCAAATGACAATTTGAAATAGGGAAAACATTAACCCTTGTCTTAACACTACTGCTAACAATGTAAAGTGTTGAATTCCCAAATGCTGCAAACCTTTTGTTTTTTACTGAGACTTAAATATAACGAGGATCTCATTGCTGGAAACACTCAAGCTAATACATAACTGTTATTTACTGGTTGTAGAGAACATGAAGCTCTTTGTTTATTGAAAGTCTCCCTTATCATCCATCTTTTCATAAGCAATCAATATTTTTTTCTGTTTTTGCAGAAAGGGTGTCAGTAACTTTAACGATGGTTTGTTGCACATTTGGACATAAAGCTTTTGATTTCATGGATGATTTGAATCCACAATGGTTGAAAGCTATATAAATTCTGCCAGACTGGTTGCCTTTGCCATCTCACATGATTCCTTTGTGAGTTATACTATGTTATGCACAAATTTCCTTTAGGTCTCTCTGGAAGAATAACAACAGCAAATTGAACATAAGTAGAAACAACAAAGAGAATTAAACAAGACTATCTATGGAAGCACATCATCACCAAAAAGAAAAACATTCTAACTGAAGCTGTTACTGGTCCTGAAGAATCATCATATCTGTTGATGGTAAAGCCTGTAAATTGTGTGGAAGGTTTAGCATTTGTTGAATGATTAAGATGAAGCATTACCAAAGACCCCCTATCAGAGTTTTTAGGAAGGCCTCTCTCTGCAGAGAGAGAGAGAGGATAACACTTGACAGAGACCTTTATTACATAACCTCCTTCCTCTTATTCAAATGAAAGGGTTAAGAGAACTTGAAGAAGTAGGAGTTTATTTGGATTTTCTTAGTCACAGTTCTTATTTTTTTAAGGGTTTTTTTTCTTTGAAAATAATCAATTAGGCCCTTATCAATTGTGCTAGTAAAAGTAGCATATTATGCTACTAGCTGTGCCCAATTTTTTTTCCAAATTATGCTTAAAATAGTGCTTGTTTTTGAAAATTATGCTACTTTCTCGTAATGTATTCTTAAAAGTAAAAAACACAAAACCAGTCCAAAAACCAAAATTTCATATTTATTGTTAATAAAACATCTTATATTCTTTATCTTGAGTAACACACTTGCTCTGATAAAACACAACTAACTATTGCACTTCATTCCAAACGAGAAGTGGTGACCTACTGTATCAAAATGTATGATGTTTGTATCACACTTAATGTGTTCTGATATAGCTTAGCACTTCTTATACTGCGGCATCATACTTGCTTGTAAGTAATCTGACAGTGCACACTCTTGCTGGTTATTGAATGAGGTTGAGAGCTGAGCTAAAAAGCTCTCTGAAGCAGCAGGAGGTGGCTGAACCAGGAGCACCTTCTTGGCAGCAGAGGACCAATAAGGAAGTCACTCTGAGTGGAGCTTCCACCACCACTTTCTCTTCCTGGCATTAAATGATGTGTCTTGGGCAGCAGGGGTACCTCTCTAATCAAGCCATTGATAGTTGCATCACTGTTGAGAAACAGGAAGATCCTGAGGGCCTCTGCTGTAGTGTGGGTAGGTCTCAACCACTGGAAAGTGACTGGGCATGTGACTTTTTAATTTTTTTAAACTTTAAAAGTTGTTAACATAACTTACCAGAATTCTCACCACTGACTTATGTGTTGTTCTTCTTCTTTACTGTTGACGTGAAGTATCCGAAGAGTGTTTTCTCTCGTTTCGACATTTTAATTATCTTACTTTCAATGTTGGTAGCAACTTTATAATTTGCATATGTAGTGATCAAACAAGTCATGACTCTGCCAATGTTCCCTTCCATAAATGAAAAATATTCCAATTATGCTGGCAGTGCTACTTTTAGAAAAAGTGCAAAAGTCATGCTTGTTTTTCCAAATTATGCTAAAACTTATACTAGCACAATTGATGAGGGCCCATACTTATATGAGAAATGGAGTGGTGTCAATAATGTTAACCATGTTTATAAATTATGTCTGTGAGATATAATTATTATATAAAGTCCTCATAAATTTCATACTCATGAAAAAGTCTTCTAGGCTGACAAAGAAAGTAAAAAGAGAATCATATTGATACTGGCCTCTTAAACTTAACAATTTAAGTGTAACATACCATTTAGAAGTCATGTTCTTGTGATTTTCTTTTATCTGGATGTACTTTTTCTGTCTTCCTGCTATTTTCCCATTCTTCCCTGTTTTAGTTTTTATTTACTATTCATTTCTGTACCTAAACAAATATTAATGGTAATTTGTAAGAACTTGTCTGCCTTGACTAGCCCTAAGCTATCTGCTGCCCAGTCCATCCAAACTTTTGTAACTTAATTTTGTAAATTAAAAATTGGATTGAATCTGGGCATTTTAAGCTTAGCACAGGTAGATTATTTATGTACTTCAAATTGTAAAAGAAATTGAAGTATTCTTAATCCCCTGATAAACATTTTACCGATTTTTAACTTCTTACAAAAGCAACTTAATGATCAGGTTTTTCTGGTGTTACTAATATTAATGATTTTGTTGATTTCCAATATGCAGGTATCCTCTTTGATAAACACAATGAACATTGAAATATTTAGTGTTAATTACAAAAATATTTGGGTTAACTGGAATATTGAGTTTATTTTTAGACTCTTATAATAGATTTAAGTAATGAGCTCATTAAAGCATGCTGAGATATAAGTCAACTGTTTAAGTGTTTACATATGAGCAATAAAATCTTTTCTACATTTTAAATTAGTCTTGTTCACTTTGAATACTTAAATTAATGCTTCTAGCGATGGTGTTGATAATCTGACAATTCATTCAGCAAGTAAAGCTGGTTTGATTCTTCATATATTCTTATTTGTTACTGATCTATCCTTTTTTAATTGAGAAATTTCCAGTTGATCAATCTGGTCAATGTTTCAGTTGTTTAACTCAGCTCTACTCTAAATCTGAAAAAAAGAATCACGAAAGGAGGTGCTTAATTAAGCTGAGTAGACTTTTCCAGTAACAAGACTGTTTGATTAGGTGCATCAAATTGCTTATGCAGATTTTTCAGCCATTGTCATCAGGACTTGTCTTTGACAGACAGCAGCAGCAAAATCTGTTAGCACTGTCATTTACCCTCCTGGGAATGTCTGATTTATGTCTGATATTCTTTTTCTCTTGTCTTTAAGATACACTGAAAAGGGACATCTCCCTAAGCCACCAAAGAGAGACAAACTCATGATGGAACACTGTCCACCATCTTGTACTCTTCCTCACATTGCAAGTGTTCTCTGCATATTGGGCCAATTTCACGTGCTTGGCCTCCCGGCCCTGCATGGAATCAAGGCCAAGTGCGAAGCCAAACTTACAAACATACAACAGTTTAGTGTGGGGGGGATAGAGTCTACACTGTGGGATTTACTCCACTTAACAGAAAAGAGTGGGCTGTGAGTGCCAAGGCATGTAGTTTCACTATGAACTCTTGAGAAAGATTACTTATCTTGAAGATTTCCTGGATAAGATTGGCAAAATTCCATGAGAATCTCTTTGATTCAATCCCAGTGAACCTGTAAGAGAACTAAATTTTTTCCTTTTTTAACTGAACCACTTGAGGAACTGTTGTAAAGTCTTCCACACTTCACAGTTTCACACACACACATCACAGAAATGACTAAGGGTGATGTAATTAGGAGATCTAAGACAACTGTTGATGCCTGAAGTTGGAACTGACTGGTATATTGCATAACCACAGTCAAAACAGCTAGAAACCACTGCTGCCAAGCATTGTTTGTGTTGTGGAGTGGTTGTGCCTTAACACAATCCACTATTTTCCAGGTGGGATTCAAATTCCTGCCTTGACTTTTCTTTGCAATAAATTTAGGGACCTCACCTCTTTGTTTACCATCAGGATCTCTTGAATCTTACTTTAAAGCCTTCAACCTACTTTGCAGTTTCTATTCCCTACTGGTAGTTCCATGGATGCTAGGTTGCCTCAGATCCAGGAGAGAAGTAGACAGCACAGTTGTTTAGTTCCCCTGACATACAAGACACCCATTTCATATCAGCTGGGATGAGTTTAAATTCAACTTAGTGGCCTCAGGCAGTTGTTAATTTCTTTTCCTCCATTTCTTCCATTATTTTTGTTCAAATGTTGGATTACTTTTTCATCAGCTGGGTATCTTCGGCACAATTTGCACCCATTGTAGTCGCAAATCCACAATTTATTCACAAACTCAACAATCGAGATCAGGTCAGGCCCACATACTCTTAACCTTTGCACGATTCACTAAATGGAAAATATACAAAAAAATAAGTAAACCTGGGAATTTCAAACACTGATTGTCTTTTTTCTTGACTAAAGAACTCACATTATGTAGGAACTTTTGGAAATCCACAGTCGACCTGATGAAAACAACAACAAACACGGCGACTCATTCTCCTTGTGTTTGCTCCAAGACCGCTATGCCTTATGGGAGGCATAGGCTTCCCAACACTAAATTAAGAAATTGTGTAACAAGTTAAAAGGTAACAACACCTATCAGGAGGTGGTTGTAGTGATAGCTTTAAACCTTGTTGAGGAGGTTGAGAATGCTGACCAGATGTGCAGTTGCAGTGTCATCTTTCCCAAAGGGAACACCATCTGCGCCAACAGCTGTTTACAAGACCCTTTTCACCATTAAACCAATGCAGACAGGGGCTTCTGCTAGTCAGAAGCAAATAAAGATCTGCAAGCTGAAGGAAAAATGGTTTCCAAGAAATGCTCTGAAGAAAATTTAGCTGCCAGACTTTCTAAGGAAAGTAGATAAGACTTTGTCTATTTCATCGAGAGATTTATCCTAGAAAGGCGAGCATCCTCGTAAGAGAATGATAGAAACATGTGCAAAGTACAGCTTGTTACAAGTGGCTCGCGCCAGGCACCTATCGGGCAAATCATAACTAGTGTCCAGATCTCTCATCTAATGTTGCGTTGTGCTCTATCTCTCCCCAAGTCTTTAGTGTTCCTCATGCTTGCATATGGGGGATAGTGAAGACTGATAAGAACACAAATGTTAATTTGAATTAAAGAACAAAACTAAATATGGAATAGTGTCATTTGACTGTCTCATGGATCTAATGACTAAGTCACTGTTCCAATAGTCCTTTGAGTTAAAGTCCCGTAGCCGACGCAGGGCTAAGGGAGGTTTCTTTGGTCGTTCTGGGGGTTTCGGGCGGGCTTGACGGCGCCAGTGGATCTGCTTGGGGGCTGGGACGCGTGCGTTCGTGGAGTTGCTGTCGAGGGGTGCTCAGGAGATGGGGAAGGTGTTTGGTTGCTAAGTTGTATCTGTGGTGCATTCGGCTTTGGGCTGGGGCTGTGGTGGTCAGGTGTCACTGCTGCCGGGGTTGGCCCAGTTAGTGGCTGTGCAGGGGATGGTTGTGGGGGTATCCTTGCTTGTGCTGGGGTGGGGGCGATTGGCTTGGGCGGTCTGTGTGGCAGATAGCAAGATGGCGCAGGTCGTCATCAATTGTTAGGTGGGGCGGTGTGGTCCGCACCGGGAGGTATTTCCTTAAGAACTTGCGGTTGCGGGTAGTCATCCTCCCTGAGCCGTCGATGCGGATGACATACTGGTCGAATTGGCGAACCTCGACCACGACTCCTGTCTTATCCCACTTAGTGGGGTAGGGGCCTGTTTGGTTCTGGATGCGAACATGGTTACCAACGGCCAGGGGTGGGAGTCGCTTGGTGTGCTCAGACCATCTCTCTGCAGCTTTCATGTGGCGGTTTCTTAGTGCTGCCTCTCTTGTCGCGAGGGTGTCACGCCAGGTAGGGTGTGGTTGGTAGCGACCAGGTAAGATAGGTATGAAGTCCTTGATTGGCCTGCCAAGACACATTGTGCAGGGGATAGCTGAGTATTCGGGTCGGGTGTGTTTCGATATTGAAGGACTGCACGCTGGAAGGAGTCAGTATCTAGGCTACTAGATGGGGTGGTGTTGTCAGTGATGAACCGTTTGACTGATTTGACGCCAATCTCTGCCCTGCAATTTGAGTGTGGGAATGCCACTGACGACAGACGGTGGTGTATGCCCCAGTCTTTCAGGAATTGGCGTGTGGCTGTTGCTGTGAATTCAGGGCCGCCATCTGTTGCGAGTTCGTCTGGGATGCCGAATGTGGCAAAGGTTCGTAAGAGACAGTCAATCAGGCCTGTAGATCCCTCTCTTGCTCGCTCAACGAGGGGCCAGTTGGAGTAGCGGTCTCACGATAACAAGGTAGGTAACCCCTTTGTAGTGAAAGAAGTCGGGCGCAAACACATTGGAACGGGTAGGCTGGGGGTACAACTGGAGAGGGCGGTGAACTCGGTTGAGAGGGTGCCATGCGGTTGCAGTGGTTGCAGGTTTCCCGTAGGGCAATGATGGCTGGGGTGATGCTTGGCCAGAACACTGTGCTTTTCGGGCGCGTGCTGTCATGGAAGTCACACCTTGGTGGGCTGAGTGCAAGACAGTCAGAATATGCTGGCGGAGAGAGGGTGGTATCACGATGCGATTCTTGTAGAGGATGATGTCATCAACTGTATAGAGGTGTTCGCGAAATTGATGGTACTCCCGAAGGGCAGGTGGTAGCTCGTTACGGGATTTAGGGAATCCAGTCTCGATAAGATGAATTAGCTGGGTCATTGCCCTGCTGCTTGTTGTGGCCAGCTTGACCCTATCCCATGTGACGGCAATAGTGTTTAATGCCGATGAGGCTGATGAGGCTAGCTGGTTCAATGGTGATGGAGCAAGTGCCCGGTTGTGGTTCGGTGTGGCGGATGCCGGCCAAGAAGGAGCGTCCGGAGTTATCTAATGCGCGGAGAGCGGCCAGGGTTGCGGTTGCCGCGGCTATGTCGCCTGGCAAGACTAGCAGGTCTGGTTTGGTGGTTCCGGTAGGATGGCGGGATACAGCATCGGCAGCTTTGTGTCGCACGCCAGGGATGTGTACCATTCGAACCGTAACGTAAGCTTTTCTCCTTGAGGTTGCGGAGCCGGGCGTTGGTGATATCTTCAAGGGACCGGTCTCCAAACACTTTTAGGAGGGGCTTGTGGTCGACAGCAATGATCAGGTTACTGCAACCCAGGACAAAAAATCGTGCTTTGTCAAGCGCGTCGGCAACGGCTAGGGCTTCGCCCTCTACTGGGGCATAGCATGATTCAGCGGCGTGTGTGAAACGGCTCCCAACCAAGGTGATCTTCCAGCCTGTACGACAACAGAAGGGTTCGGGGGATGGGCACTGGCAGTGTTTCTGGAACAGCCAGAATCCGATGCTGCTTTTGGACCAGTCGGTTGCCAGGCAGGTTGGTTTAGATTTCTCAAAGATACGCACACCCTCTTCAATTTCACTGATAATTACTGATTTGGATTCTTCAAAGAGTGTGTGCAGTTCGTCGGTCCATTGGAAAGGGGTGCCGGGCTGGAGGAGCTGGCGGAATGGCAACATGCGCTCAGTCGCTGCGAAGGCATAGGAGACCTGGTTGATCAGGCCAAACCAGGAGCGGACATCCGTGATGTTGGCTGGGATTGGAAAGTTGCGGATGGCATCGAGGTATTGTTTGCATGGCCGCACACAGCTTGGGGTGATCTCAAATCCTGCGAATTCGACAGTGTCGGCTCCAAGACGAACTTGTCTGGGTTAAGTATGATACCATTGTGTCCGCAGAGGTTGAGCCAGTCAACCGCCTGGAAGAAACTTTGGTCAAGGTTGTCTGCCCAGAGAAGGGTGTCGTCGATGCATTTGGTCTTGTTAGGAACATGGGACACGATCTCATCAAACCGTCTTGAGTAGCCGTCGCCAGAAGCTATGTAGCCTTGAGGTGCTGTTTTATAGCGGTAGCGACCCATGGAGTGATGAAGGTGGTGAGGTGTCGATCGTCCTCATGGAGGGAAACGCTGTGGTAACCATTCCAACAGTCAAACACGGTCTTTTTGGTGTTGCTTGGGATTGAACGCGTGCCTGGTGGAAGGGGCTTTGCGTGTGGTGGGTTTCACGTGTCGCGTGGAGGTTGAGCGCCTGGAAATCGACTGTGCGGGGGGGCTTGCCATTCTTTTTAGCACATACAACCATGCGGTGGCACCAGGTGACGGGTTCTCCTACTGGCACTGGTTCGAGGACACCCAGTGAGACGTCCTGGTCGAGTCCTGCCTTGACCTCCTCTTGCCAGTGAAGTGGCACTGGTATGGGGTTGTGGTGTGCGACTGGTTTCGCTTTGGGGGTCAACCATTAGCCTCATAGGGATGCTCTCCATTAGGGGTAGCGGCTGGTGCTCGCATGTATTGAAGGTGCTGGTTCGGTAGTAGTCCAGCAGCCACTGTTGCATCTTCATCCGACTGTTCTCTGTTGCTGGGAAAGGGGTGGTTGTGGGCTTCGGTGGCGGTGTGATGCGACGCGGGCAGGTGCATGGGGGGCTGTCTGAGCCCTCAGAAGTTTGCATATCTCTGTCTGACGGGGTTGGTGCAGTTGCATTGCAGGCTGTGTCTGGCTCGATTGAGCTGCATGTGTTTAGGGTCTCCCCCAACATGGGGAAGTTCTTAGTGATAATGCCCAGTGCCATGCATGTCTCTCGGCTGAGGAAAAGTTTGTCTGAGTCGCTTGTCACGTATACGATCTGTCGGCTTTCCAGGGCTTTTCCGGATGGAGACCTGCCCGAGAACCTTAAGATGACTGCGCCCAGGATGCTGATCCCTTTGTTGTTCACAGCGTGCATTTTCATAGTGACGGGTATCAGGTCACTCTCACAGAGGCCCAGGCGACGGATGACTTTTATGCTAGCCAAGCAGCTCTGGCAGCCTGTGTCAGCCATAGCAGAGAGTTGTGCTGTTGCCAACTGTGATTTGGGTGGGTTGTATCCAAGGGCTGTGTAGTCTTCAGGATGGGCTGTCGCTGTAAGCGTTATGAACGGTTGAGGCTTGGATGGCTGTCGAACCCAGTGATCGGTTAGGTGGCAGTAGAGGTGGTGGTCGAGTGAGATGACTCCTTTGCTTGGCCTGCTGAGGCTAGTTGTGGTGCAAAGTGAGTCAAAAATTGCGCTTTCCGTTTCTCTGCTCTTGCCAATGGGTGTCGGCGGCTGTTGGGGCCTGTTGCTTTTGCCCTTGCTGCGGCAAATGCTGGCAAAGTGGTTCTGCCGTCCACACTTGTCGCAGATGGTGCCATAAGCTGGGCAGTCATGACGGCGGATTCTGGTCGGCGCGCTCTTGCCATGCCCTCTCTTGTTGCAATAAGAGCACAGTTCGTTCGCGTCCCCATCCTTACGTTGCTTGACCTCATCATTTTTGGCACGACGATACTGACTTTGTGCGGCGTCTGTACTGTGGCTTTGTGACAGGCGGCCTGCTGACCGTTTGCCGGCCTCTTTTGCCTCAATGAATTGGAACACCTCCTCAAGGCTCATGTCTTGGTTTCGTTCCCCCAACAGGTCTAATTGGATTTCGCTGTCAGCCAGGCCACGTGTGAGGACATCGCGAAGGACGTTTTCCGTATAGTTGACCTCTATGTTGCAGCCAGGGCAAGTGACTAAAAAACTTGCAAACACCAGCTTGGCGCGAAGGCGGGCACCAAAACTACGGATCGTCTCATCCCGGTCTTGCCGCGTGTTGTGTAGCTGCACACGGGCGACCATTGCGTTCTCCTCCCGTACTGCAAGCTTTTTTATGGCTGCTATGACCTCATCTGCGGTTTTGTCGGTGAGGGAACCGCCCGCGTTTCTTGTCAGGTCTTTGCGAAGTTGTTCATCGCAGCACTCGAGGAGCTGGATTACCTTTTCTTTGCCGGTGACATTAGTTGCCGCAACATAATCGCCCCAACGCGTTAGAAAATACGACCAATCCTCACTCGATCCCGCTGCGAAATTGTCGGACGGAGTACTCTTTCGAGTTTCGTGTTACTGTTGGGGTTGATCGTGTTCACTGTTCCTGGAGTGACATGTACTCCCGAAGAGTGCACTGATAGAAGGGACGCCGCGGCGTCTGTAACTTCCTCTGTCTCGTAGGTGCATTCGGGGAATGGGCATTTGTATTTCTTCGACATTGCGTACTATTGTAGTCCGGGAAGAAAACAAAGATGGCGGTCGATCGGCGATCGATGGCCGCGTTCTCCTCTGTTCGACGTATTACTGGGTAGTCCGCTTGCAACGGTGTCTCGTTCGCCAGATCAATCCGTGTTGAAGTATGTTTCTATCATAGATAAGACTTTGTCTATTTCATCGAGAGATTTATCCTAGAAAGGCGAGCATCCTCGTAAGAGAATGATAGAAACATGTGCAAAGTACAGCTTGTTACAAGTGGCTCGCGCCAGGCACCTATCGGGCAAATCATAACTAGTGTCCAGATCTCTCATCTAATGTTGCGTTGTGCTCTAGAAAGCACCCCAGCTTTATTGATGCCTCTGACAAAACTCATCAGTGCTTTGTAAGGCAGTATTTTTGGGATTTCACACCAAGCAATGGACTTTGTTTTTACATTTTCCCTTCTCCTTCCAGTTTCTTTTGCCACACCAGAGCTATTCCTGATGCTTGTGTACTTCCTTTTGCATATGAGGCCCCCTTCGTATAGCACATGCATACTTCTAACCTGATTTTCCATTTTTTTTTTTTTTTTTTTTTGGTACTCTTTGATTTTAGCTTTGACAATGTTTGGAATTATCGCATGTATACATGGATTTGAATTCTTAATGTAGTTAGTCATCACAGTCCTTACATGTCATTTTCTCCTTTATCCCTGATCCATTTACATGGATTGGCCCTAGGGCAGCCATTGTTTTCTTCCTTCAGATGAAAAACTGCTTTCTGGAAAGATTTAGCTTTTCACTGCATGTTGCACTGATTTCACTGCTAACAATGGGCCCTCCGTCTTCCTTTTTCTTTTTGGCCCCCACATAGGGATTCTCTCAGTTTTCAGTTTCAGCAATATCTATATTATCAGCATAAATGATAACAATAAAAAAATAAAGCAACAATAAATAATATGAAACAAAACTCATATGAATAGGAAATATAGACATCTGTGGTTCCTGTTTGACTGCCTGGAGATTGACAGTTAGTAGATCAGCCAGCTCCAGAAACTGGCTCTTTACAATTTTACTGACCACTTTTGTGTTACCTGAACACATAATAAAAGCCTCCTCTGACTTTGGAGGTGTTACCTGAACACATAATGGAAGCCTCCTCTGACTTTGGAGGCGAAGCAGAGTTAACCAGGCTTGGTACATGACTGATGACACTGAAGGAAGACTATGATCACTGCAAACCTATTGTGCCTAAAATTCACAAAACTATTGAAAATTTCTGATCATGGAGAGGGAGGTTTTGCATAAAGAATGATGGTTGAAAGTTTTTTGCTTCAACTGTTTGCTATGAACTGTGAAATGTGCATTAAACACCCTACTGATATTCCTCTTCGAGTGCACATGAATTGTTTGGCAACAGCTGGGTAGCCATGACCATATTCCATTAGATATCCAAATGCCTTACAGGAAATATTTTGTAATTTGATTCAATCCAGAGGATTATAAACAGCCATCATGACCAAGTCAAACTACTCACCAATAAGAGGTGAGATTTAGGACACTGGCCTAAGATCTCTCGTTCTCGAGGGCACTGTGTGGTCATTAGATTTACTTCATGTTTTTTGGCATCTTGTCGTCATCCTGCGAAATCTTGCTTATGGTAAAAATATTTAGAGATTCGTTATTGAATTACAGTTCTTCCTGTTGCCTACTGCCATTTCATAATCTTAAAACATTGAGCCAAAACATATGCTCAAAAGGTTTTCTTGATTTTATGTATACAACTATCTAATAATTAAACAAATATGATTAGAGTGAAGATTCCATACTTGCTATTTGGCAATTTAAGATATCTTCATTCCAAGTGAATACTCTGTTGTTTGCTGAAACAAATGCCAGAATGCACAATTAATATATATTGCATGCATGATTAAGTTTTGGGTTAGATAGAAACCTCTTAGTAAAACCTTTAAAAAGGTGTAACTTTTGCCTTCTGAAAAAGGCAGCTCTTCCAAACTCTCTTTCATGCCCTATTGCAATATCAGAATGAAGCTCTGGTGGGAAAATTTTAATCCAGTCTAGCAGATGGCTGGATCCTGGAGGATGCTACATGCATGCGGTTATCAGATTTAATTTCTTTTCCATACCTTTTCTTCTCTGGGCAGTAATTGCACTTGTGCATAATGTCATTAGTTCTGTGTGCAGTAGTTGCACTAGTGGCATGTCTAAATTGTTCCATCTTTCCGTCTTTGGTTCACCTCAGGCATCTTGTTGGTCCTCTAACTGTATTCAAAATTTCTTACTCGCTCTTTCTGTTGTTGAAAGCTTTCCACCATTAATTGTGTCATTGTATGGACCTGTAAATGGTTGTTTTGAAATATTAGTGTTGAGCCAAAAGATCAGGAGAAACAAGTTGTGTTGGCTCAAATTTAATTCATGTCAGGGGATTGCTAGATCTGGCAAGGCTCTCTGCAATAGTCAGATTTACTCTTTGTTTGAATCTTGTGGGTCTACTTCTGAAATCCAGCCTGTGTTCAAAATATATCAAGATTTCTTAATTGGTGACCTTTTGGTTGCTTAATGCTCTTCCTCACTGATTCTGTAAAATTTGTGTAGCCTGTAAATTGCCATTTTCTAATCCTAAAACATTGACCCCAATTATATGTTCAAAAGGTTAGCTTGATTTGCTTTAAACAAAAAATTTAATAACCAAGGTAGTATGCTTGAAGGTGAACCTTCTCGAAAGAAAAGAAATTTGAATCTAGGTACATAGGAGAGGGAAAAGAGGCCAACAAAAGAAGTGCTCTAGTGTGTTCTGAAACAAATACCAGAATGCACAATAAATAGGCACTGCTTGCATAATGGTGTTTGGGTTAGATGGAGGCTCTATGGTGTTTCTGTTACTTGGTATAATATCTGCAAAATAAGCAGTAATTCCGAATTTTCTTCCATGGCCCACCACAAGATCAAAAGGAGTAAGCTCTGGTAGAAGAAACTTGATGAAAAGAGGCAAACAAAGTTATTTAAGTAATATTACTTTTTTTTAATCATCTTGTATGTGAATAATCTATTGCTCACTAAAACCAATCTGAACCAGAATATATATCATTAACATCTACCACATGCACAAAGGTCATAGTGTTTTACAGAAATCTATCTCTGTATCCAATCACAATGAACAAATTTTTGAATGAAATAAGCAGTTCTTCCAACTTTCTACCTTGACCAACCACAAAGTCAGAAGAGGAAGCTCTTGTGGCAAAACGTTTATCCATCCCAAGGGATTGCTGAATTCTAGAGGGCACTATACAGTATTAAGATTCAATACTACCACATGAGAGGGAGAAAAGAGCCCAACAAAAACAATAATTTTGTTGATACAGGAAGAAAAAATTGAAGATGTCTTTGCTGAAAAAAATACCAGAATGTACAATTAAAATACTTGGCATGCATAATTGAGTTTTTGGTTAGATGGAAACCTTTTGTTGTGTCCTCTGACAAGTTGTAACATTGCAAGCGAAATAAGCAGCACTACCCAATTTTCTTCCATGACCAACCACAAGATCACAAGAGTAAGCTCTACTGCAGGGTTCTTGTCAATTTTTTTTATAGGAGGTAACAAAGTTCTAATAGCAGGTAACTTTGTTACCTGCACACATGCTGGGTGTGTGGGGGCTGTGTAGGCACCCATTGGGGTACAGGGGCAGCACCCTGGTGGGGGGGCCAGGGGGCAAAGTCCCCAAGGGCTCCTGGATTTTTAGCAAATTGAAGGATGTTTGGGCAGCTCTCAGTGCACCCTTTCCAGCAGATTGTGGATACTGTTGTCAGCTTACAAAATGTTATGAGTTTCTTTTATTCGTGCGATGCTTGCACATTTAACCTCATTAAGGTTTGGGACAGCATTTCTGTATGTGCAGTGAGGATCTGGAACACGCACCAGGTAAATGAGTTGGGTTAGAAATTTGAAAGGGCTTTTTGGTTCATTTTTCATTCAATGAAGACAGGTTTATATTTCTTTTAATACATGCCCATGCAGCTTTCCGTTTCCTGTATGCTCCTCGCAGTTGTTGTCGATTTTGTTTTGATGATCCCACGCTAGTCTCGCTGACTCGTGAGGATGAAAGGTTTTTTCTTCTTTGAGCCTTTGTTTCTTTTTTACAGGCAGATTAATATCAAAATTGGGGGAACAGCATTGTATTTTAGAAGGGCTTTTATCTTTAAACCTTTAGATTTCACCCGAACTGACTGTTCCTCAAAAGAATCGGCAGTGAAGTAAATGATTCATCCCTAAGTTAATAAAAATGAAAATGCTGATTTCAGTTAGTCAGTGTTGAGGCCTTCAATCATAATTATTGTGACTTAATAATCAATAATAGCAATATAAAAGTAGTTAGTCCACACCATTACCACTTAAGATCTTGTAGGACTTGATCCATGCTGTTGGATTTTGTACTCTGAAGCAGCAAAATAAATGAAATGCTGGAAATAATATGCCTCTAGTTTCTGACTCAACTTGTCCCAAAACTGCTGATCAAATTTTATTCTTTCAATTGACATCCCTTTGATCGTGTAGACAATAAAATCGCACCAAGTAGCACCAGTTATTGCTAACTGGCCTTGAACTTGAGCATAATATTCATGCTCTGTTTTCAAACAACATTGATCACCTACTCGTCGACGGAAAAATTTGGGATCAGAGCAAGCTTCTAGTGGGGTGACAGCAGATTTTGTTGATGGACGCAACTTCCAAGATTCCAAAAGGTCGACTGCACCCAAAGTCAACAACAACAACAGCAACAGGGCTGGCTGCAAACACTGGCATTTAGTTTGAAACTACAAGCCCACACTTAAGCACTACTACTGCTGTTTTTCTTGCATTCATGAACTTTTGATATTCATGAATAGCAGTTCCTTCATATCTTTTCTTATGAGAAGTGTGCCTATTAGTGAACTCCTTTGGATTCATCAAGTCCTTTCACTGCCTCCTTGATATCAAATGAAACCTTGAAGCTGTGAGTCTGAACTTCCTCTGTTCCTTCCATTGGTCACTGCTTGCCTGATCTCTTGTTTCCAATTCAATATCATTGATTTGGTTTTCATCTACTTCTAGTGAAGTTAAAAATGTTCTCTCTTCCCCGGGAACAGTGTCTGGGAAGGCTCTAGGTATAGAGTCTTTCAGGGGAAAACGTGGGTAGCTATTTATGTCTATATTGAATCAGGAAGTCTGGGAACACAATTGATATTGATGAAACTGCAATAAGCGTGTAAGTCTCCTGGCCTTTAATAACAACACCACAAACCAAGTTCGAATAAAGATTTATTGTAGCCGACGTGCTTGGTACTAAGAGTGTGCATACAAACAGCGTGGGTTGAAACTAAAATGGTAAAAAAGCAAAAAAGTTACAAGTTGCGACTAAGGTAAATTAGAGTAAGGAAATAACAAAACTGCAAAACGAGGACTGAAGTACACTTACATTGTTTCGGCCAGAGAAAACTGCTGTAAAGCGGACTGCGAATAACGCGAAGAGACTTGCAAGAAACTAAACAGAACTGCGCTAAGCGCGGACCAAAATGAACTGCCCAAAACTGTACTGCAAAACTACGATATGAAAAATACGCATAAACATTTCGAAAGAACTTTCCTGACAACAGAACTTGCGTTTACGATCCAAAACTTCTC